CAGCCCAGTCATAGCATCGCTGATAAGTCTACTCATTTACCTGTTACATATTGTATATCACCTGCTGGAAGAGGAAGTATGGTGTCCATGTAGTTAGCACTCGCCTTGCAGCTCTGGCTCCTGAGTTTGAGGCCTGCAAGGAACAACATTTATATATAGGTTATATGTTCATTCTGTGTTTGGGAAGGTTTTCACTGAGTGTTTACATGTCCTCCCACAAGCCAAGGACATACTGCTAGGTTAATTGGCTGTCTCTCAGTATCCATGTGGTAAGAATGTTAACGATACTTTAGGGGGCAGGGATTGATGTGGATGGAACGCTGTACTCTGTAAATCACTGTGTAATATTTTGGAGATAAAAAAATATTGGATATAAATTAAAGGAAGGCTGTTCTAAGAAAATTCATAAGCTGCCATTGATGAAATTTCCTTTTAAAAATGCTGCCAGCCTGTTGCTTTATCTAAGTGCTGCAGTACGCAACATTTTGATAGCATGTGTCCCTTGCCAACTGGTGGATATTATCAGAAATTTTCAGTGAAGGATACAAAACTGCTTTAGGTAGAAAGGAGGGGCAGTAACAGAAAGAGTACCACTGGTTGTGATGAAGACTCCAGACATGGGCCTGAAATTTGTTACGTTCCTCCAGAAAAAGTTTCACCTGAGTGGTATCTAGGATTATTCTCAGCTACTACAGATGATGAATTGGAGTCAGTTATTCAGGATCCAACCGAAGTCCCACATAGCATGTAGCATCACCTAAATTAGTATTGGAGCGTATGGTAAGAGTCTGCTCTCATGAGAAGATTGTCAAGATAACCCACAATTGGGATCCCCTTGAGGTGGAGAAAAGATAGATTGGTGCCCAAAACCTTTGTAAATATTCGAGGAGCAGAGGCGCGGCCAAGGGAAGAGCCAGAAGTTGGCAACCATCATGTCCCATGCTGAATCTAAGAAAACACTGGAAACACTAACAAATCGGGACATGAAGAATACAATGCCCATCAGTCACCCTAGTGGAAAGAAACAACTACCGAACAAATGGACTCCTTTCTAAAATTTTTTTACTTTCTTGAAGGCGCTTAACAATTTTAGATCCAGGATGAGATGAACACCTCCTCTTTAAAGAAAATTAAATATAATGTAAATGAATAAACAGAATAAAAGCTCTTCATTTGTTCCTTGAGAGGGAACCAAGATGATAGCATCTTGAGCTAGAAGATCTTAATTAGCTAGAGATACGATTATCAGCTTTTGGAGAGCCAGGGGAACATTAGAAGCAAAAAGGCACTGTAGTGGAAGAGCATGAAACTCTTGTCTTGCAACCAGAGGAAACAACCTCTTGCAGCCAAGCATCATAAACATGACCTACTCATTTGTTGGTGAACAATCTGAGCCAACCCTCAACCTTGCCTTGCACAGGTGGATACAAATCTTGATGCAGAGGTGGGCTTGCCAGAGCTTTTGGTGGAATTTTTCTACCAAGGTTTCTTGGATCCCATGGAAGCAGAGGCTTTGACATGCTTGGATCCCTTGTCAGGCTTCCAATTGGAAGGAAAGGAACATCTATAACCTGTGAAAGGTGGGTAAGGTTTATGCTTGTAAAAATTTTTGAACTGTAATAAAAAGGTACTAATTATTATTATTATCATTATATTTTCACCTTGTATTTTTTGTAGTATTTGAATTATATTTGATTTATGCTTATGTTATGATTAATGTAATTTTCTTGCTGTGCTTTTTGATAGAGGGTTTGATAGAGGGTTTCCAGGGTGACACTGGCCTCGGTTTCAACGGGTGGCCCTCTTTTTTGAGAATCCGGCACGGGATATGGCTGGCTTCACTGAGAGGTCTTCCCTGTGGGCTATCCGATACCTTCTGAGGTGTGGAGGAATCTCACTTCATCCACTAGTCTGTAGGGGGCTATTTACCGTGCCGGCAGCATCCTGAGACTGCCCCGGACATCATGTGGCAATATGCATGCGCCAGCCATGGTTGCATGCTGGGCAACGGCACGACATCATGACGTCACGCTTTTGCGGCGGGTGTCGGCAGCGGATTCCAGGGGGAGGAGATCTCCCTCACGGACACTGGGGTGGCCACATTGAGACGCCATTTTTGGTGCCATTTCCACTTCATCTCTTTGTTGGCAGCACAGGTTCATCGGATTACCCACTGATAAGATCATCTTTAATTGAGATCTATATATATTGGATGTATTGCTGTAGCTGGCTTGGCTTCCTGTTCTGAGGGTGGTTCGCTGTGTGATCTTGATGGTTTGGTGAGCACTAAATTTTTGCTTTGTTGATGAAGAGAAGTATTTTTTACTGTGGGAAGTCCTGTCAGTACTCTCATGGTTTTGTTTGATTTTTTTATTATAAACAAAGAACCTAGGCATAGCTTTTATCTACTGAGATTTGGAATATTTCTATTTCTCTACACTTCAGTAAGCATTATGGATAGTTGCAACAGCGATTTTTTTTGTACTAATGCTCTTCTTGATGGTCCATGCCATTGAGGCCTTGAAATATGCAGTCTCATCCTGGACACCATTATTTTATAATTGCTATAATTAATGCCTGTTTAAACCTTTTGTAAGTATTATTATGGCAATTACCTCAATGTCATTTACCTACTATCCATGTGTACATTATCATTTACCTCTATATGTCTATTTAGAAATTCCTCTTGTATCCATGCCCCCCGAAGAAGATAAAAAAATGGAATGATCGAAACACGTCGGGGTACTCTCCCTTTCTTTGGGAGTTTTTTTCATGTTGTGAAGGAAGTACCTTTTAGTATTGTCAGAGTCAATGTTCTCTAAAAAATATGTATCTTTTATAAGTATATTTATGTATTTAAGAAAAAAAAGCATGTATCTTTTTTAAAGACGTTTTTATGAGTATATGTACTATGGTCACTGCATTGAAGTTCCATATAGGGGGGCCCTTCATGTGTATTCGTATTGGGGTTGAGCAGCTAGATACTTGACTTTTTGGTTATAAAAAAGGTACTATTGTCTCCAGAAGGTTCTTAATAATCATCCAGAGATGCAAGGAAAAGGTGTTTGCCCACAAAAGGAAGATTGGTTGAATCTTTTTTTTTTTTTTTCAGAAGCCTGATCTGCAGACCAGCAGTTGAGCCTCAATATTCTGCAAAAAACTATTGCACATGTAGAGCTAAGATACTGGAGTCCAACGCAGGGTCCGGTAGTAAAAGTCTAGCTCACTCAGTGACAGTCTGAGAGAACAAATCTAAAGATGGCCATACACTAATAGATATTCGTAGGAACATTTGTACATACATTTGTACAAAAATTCTCAATACTCCAAAATATTGGTTTTAAGATTTGATTTCTGAACGCATAGACTTTCCCATACAAATAACACATGCAGTGTTAAACATTTGTTAAAATTTTCATCAAGCTCTAAATTTAAAAAAATGAAAAAAGAAATTCTACTAGTATATTGCCAGCTTTATGCTATAATGGGTCTCATCAGATTTCCAGCTACCATGTACACAGATTGAATAAGTGCTTCTATCTTATTGTTTGTCTGAACTGTTTTTTAGTAAAATCCTCTGAAAAAGGATCTCAGACAGAAAAGCATTCTAGTAATATGAACACCTAATTAGGATACTTTCAGTCCTTGTTGATGAAATTGTTGAAAAAGGAATGGTACAGAATCACTGACGTTTTCTGACAATTGAAGGTTAAACTAAGGGAGCTGTCCTGCTACCTCCCTATTCAGTATTTTTACACCAAATGTCCCTCTCCTGGAAATGGGCAGCTTAGCCCCACTTGCACTGATTGATTTTCAATCAAAAGCTGTGTCTTTCAATGAACATAAGAGAAAAAAAAAGTTTTTCCATTTGTATACTTTCAGTGACCCGTACAATATAGATTCTGATTGGTTGGTGTAAGATATTGCACAGAATTAGCACTTACAAACTGGAACAGAAGCGGACCTTCCTAGTTTGGAAATGTACAATTGTCTAAAATGTCTTTGTATTATATACTATTAACAGTATCCTTCACTGGAAACGCAAGAACTCAATAATTTTGAGGAGTATCCACATTCTTTTGGCCATATAGTAGGTCAGATGTTCACAAACGTTTGTTCATATAGTTACATAATTACATAGTTAGTCTGGCTGAGAAAAGACAAAAGTCCATCCAGTTCAACCATAGAAAAAAAAAAAAAGTTATAATCCTACACCCACAGTTGATCCAGAGGAAGGCAAAAAAAAAAAAACAGCAAAGCATGATCCAATTTGCTTCTGCTGGGAAAAAAATTATTTCCTGATCCCCCGAGAGGCAATTGGATATTACCTGGATCAAATGGGGATCAAATAATATGGTGTTTGTCACTTCACTTCTGCGGTTGAATAGTGCAGCAGGGGAGTGATGGGTAGGTAAAGATATGCAGATGCAACGATAAAGCACATGTTGGCTTTAAAGTGTAATTCCACTTTTGCAGCCAAATCGGGATAGCACTTACTTTACAATTGTTACATGTTCTCATTTACATAACATAACTTTAAAAAATATTTAAAAAACTGCTGTGTATGTAGGAGCACATAACCAACAAGTGGGGGTTTCTAAAATATTACTGCAAACATGAAAATACACTTTAAGCTTACATCTAAGTTAATTCAAATTATCCTAATCACTCTTTGAGTTGGTCAGACTTGAGAACTACTACAGTAAAAAGGAAATTTCCATTGTTCCTGAGTAGCTGGATCATACTTAGATTTCAGGGCAATAAACGGAGTGCTTATCTGCAGTTCAATAACACCAATACAGGTGAGTCACCAGGTGGCACTCCTTGGAATTGGACAGACTGGACAATGAGGATTTGTGGAGTGCTGGTGGTAGCATGGAGGTGGGAGGGGTGATGGGGTAGAAAAACATTTAAATAACCATAGTAGCTCATTGTAACAACTCATCGTTCCCACTACACCATCTCCTCTTCTATAGCCCTACTAGACTTGCAGAGACACCATGAGTTTCTCTGGAAAATATGAGGTGGAAAGCCAGGAGAACTATGAAGCCTTCATGCAGTTGATTGGTAAGAAAATTTATTTTTGGGCTCATTTAAAACTATTAGCCATGGACATGAGGTGATCACAATCCAGCTGTTGTCCAATTTCTTTTGCATGTCTCCCTCAAGTATGTGCACCTCAAAGAAATTCTATGCTTTGCAAAAGCTTTACCTAAAGTGGACCTTTATGCCAGGTTGGGGAGGGGGCTCTTGACATAATATGCAAGTATGCACACTTACCTAAAAGAGTACCCTCTCCATGCCCAATCCATGCTCTCAGTCACTGCTCTGTCCCCCACAGCCATCACCTTCTCCATTGCTTCTTTTGGTTCTCCAGTCACTCTCAATGAACGCTGGGCAGCAATTGATTATCTTTTTCTGGTGCATACTCACAGGGGTTACATCATCCATCATCCTTGGCACCCACTTCCTTTTTTGCATTGTTTATACACAGTGGGGGGTGTACATAGACATAGTTAGCAGCAAGCAAAAAAAGTTCTTCTGGCAGATGAGACTTTGCAAGTCTCTTTTGCCAAAAAAAAAAAAAACATTCTCTCTCTCAGCAATTTCTAATTTTGAGATTTTTTTAAAGGCCCCCCCAACTTTTATTTACCTTCCCCATTACCCTGTTTGCCAACAGGAACATAGGAAAGAAACTCTATGTATGCTCCAAGTGAAGCTTGTACAAGGCTACAGAATCTCTACCCACCTACAAGATATGGCCCTGTGGCCTAGCAATTGACTGTTTAGGCACCTAGAACTGCGTCATAGGGGAAAGCTATGTGAATCACAGGATTCCCATAGCCAGAAGTACAGATACTGCTAAAAACAAAGTCTAATTGGTTGTTTTGGTGTGCACAATGATCTTTGCAGGAAACTTGCTGGTGTCTGATTCATCAAAGTAAACATGAAATTATAATAACAATTTACGTTTATGATGGTGATAAGTCTAATATTAAAATGTGTACTTTTTATTCCAGGAATTCCAGCAGAAACAATTCAGAAAGGAAAAGATTTCAAATTCACCACAGAAGTAGCGCAGAATGGTGATGACTTTACCTGGTCCCAGATCTACCCAGGCCACACCATGACCAACAAGTTCACCATTGGGAAGGAGTCTGAAATGGAGACCATGAGCGGCAAAAAATTTAAAGTAAGTAGAGCCTGGGATTGGTATTCACGTGATAGTGTTCAATTATGGTGATTGGAAATGACAGCATGAAAACTCCTCAGTCAGTTGATGATTGCTACATCATTTCAATGTGAGCATCAATGGTAATCCATCTGCACATGGCAGAGTTTTTAGGGTGGAGGTTCTCTTCTTTGATATTAAATGCAGAAAATACCACATTATGGCCACTAGATGGCACTGAGCAGCTTATTTTCTATGATGGTCAGCGCCATCTAGTAGCCATAATGAAGTATTTTCCACAGTGGTATACAAATCCTGTCTGAAAATATATACTGTTGCATCAACGAGATTTCCCCATCCAGGCTACACAGCAAGGTTGGATGAATCTTCTACTGTGGCTATTGACATCTGGTCCTACTAGCTGTCAAAAGACTCAAATAGAGCTTGCATCTGACAATTTTCCATCCAGCCAATTTTTCAGTTGAGGGCAGGAGTCGGCTGACAGAGAGGGAGCCAATGGCTCCCTTCAGATCCTGTGATGAGGGAGTGGGGGGCTGAGCCTCACTGTCTGTGTCTATAGACAGGTGTGCCACAATAGGAAGTGACTTTCCATGGTGGCACGCCAAGAAAAGGATAAGACAGGAGCGCCAGTGGAAGACCCCACAAGAGGATCAGGGCCACTCTGAATAAAACCATTGCACAGAGTGAGTAAGCAAAACATGTTTGTTATTTTTAAAAAAATGACTTTACAAAAGCTTCAAGTCTACAGTGTGATTATATCTATGACCACAAATGTTTTTGGCTATGCAGCTCCTTTCTCCCTAGGGTGTATGTATAAAACATTTGCATAGCTGTTTGCCCATCGAAACTGTGTAAATTTATTATGTGCAGTTGGAGCAAAATCAAATGTTCTTAGACCATATTCTCGGCAATTTGAATGTGTGAATGCAGAAAATACCACATTATGGCCACTAGATGGCACTGAGCAGCTTATTTTCTATGATTGTCAGCGCCATCTAGTAGCCATAATGAAGTATTTTCCACAGTGGTATACAAATCCTGTCTGAAAATATATACTGTTGCCATGGTTGCAAGAAAGAGATAAGTAATTGGGTAGTTTTAGTTCTCACATTTGGCTACAGAATAAAGTGTAAAGGTAATTCAATAACATTAAATTAGAGAATGATTGGATGGCAATTATCTACATTAGTATTCAGTAAATACCTAGTTATGATTATTAAAAAAGAATTACCCTTTAGCTCTCTAAATTGTTCATAGTCTATTTATCACTGAATTGAATTACAATAAAGCTAACATATTATTTATTAAGGATCTTTTATATTGAATTCTGTGCATTTTGGTACAGGCAACAGTCCAATGGGATGGCAGCAAAATTGTTGTAGACTTTGGAAAATACAAACATTCATCTGAGATTGTCGGGGGAAAACTGGTGGAGGTAAGCATCTATTTTATTGAATTTAGCTGAAATAAAGTAAACATGTCACCCACATTTTTTTGGATATACCCAATAAGGCAAAGCTCAATAGCCAAAACCAATAGTCCATGTTAGGAGTGAGGGTGGCTATGTTCCTACATACAGTGTGACCATGGAGAATGACCGTAGCCACCCTCTAACAGGAAGTCAGATCACAGCAGAAGAAAAATAAGAAATTTGGAGGAGGATGAGAGTAACAGAACATACCTTTAGTTGCAATACAGTGCTTAATGTAATATACAATAACATTTTCAATAGAATAGAATTTAGTGTCACTTTCAAAATCGCTAGACATTAAAATAATTAAATGAAAATACGATACTGACCAATATTACCACGTTGTCCTAAAATAGGGGTCTCCAACCTTTCTAAACTAAGGGCCAGTTTACTATCCTTCAGACTTTAGAGGGGCTGGACTGTGGTCATTGGGAGTAGAAATTGTCCTGGCGTCAGTGGGAGTAAACTTTGGCAATTGCAGAAGGAGTAGTGACCCATTGTCAGTGGGAGGTGTGCCCCAGTTGGTGTCAGTGGGAGGAATAGTGCCCCATCATTGATGACAGTGGGAGCAATAGTAGTAGAGGCTTCACCGGCATGTGTGTGTATTGGTCCATAAGTTCTATAGAGGAGCGTTCAGCAGCTGTCAGGAGTGAACTAAATCACTTCATTTAATCTCTTTATTTCACATTGACTTTTTATTTTATTTCAGATATCAGAAGCTGGTGGAGTTACTTTCAAGAGAATCAGCAAACGACTTTCATAAGAGAAATCATCTTGTTTTTTCTTTATAATGACTAATTCTCATGATGGAAAATGCATGATCATTCACTTGTTGAAAGAAAAGATGTCATAACTCATAGCACCTAATAAAATAATTTCTGCTATTTTTTTTCAATATCTGATTACTGTTTTTTTTTTAAACTTCACATTTAGGATGTTAGTGGAGCTTTGGAGAGTTGACAGCATAGCTCATTTTAATTTACACAAAAACTTATCTCCAGACAGATATAAAAGCCACATATTGACGCAGCTCTGTATTCCTGAATTCATCCTTAAAGTGGAGCTCCACCCAAAAGGGGAAGTTCCGCTTTAAAGACTGGTCCCCCACTCCCCATTAAGGATGGGTACCTTTGGGGAGCAAGTACTCAAATTGACAAGAACCCGCTCCCACTTCCGCTGCGATCGCCTAGGCGATCGGAAAAGGAAGTTGTCCTCCCTCCCTCTGCGTAGTCTTCTGGGACACATGACAGGTCCCAGAAGACTACGGGACCATCAGATTGATTCATAACAGCTTTGTTGTCATTGTGATCATGTGATCGCAAAGGGATTTTTATTAAGCTGTGTCCAGTGGACACAACAGATGTGGAGGGGGGAGTTGCGCTCTTGCTTGGACGCGCAGCGCCCCCCTGTGTTGGAACAACACCAGCAACATACAAGTACATTGCTGGTCCTGTAGCTGCCGTCCATACATTGCTGGCGGGCGGGCGGGCGAACGTAAGTGGTTAAAGTGTCATTAAACCCATGATCCTGCATTCACTATATCTGGTCTCCCAAAGTACATACGATATGGAAATGCAATTATTTTTGTAAATATAAACTAGTAAATACCTTTTCTAATCAGCAGTATATAGCAGTTTTGTGACTTCTATCCGTGTCTGTCTGAGCACTGGTTAACTAGTAGGAGGAGTTTTCATTCTCCCCTTACTGTGCTATGAGGCTGCATAATCCTGACCTGTCTGGACAGTGCTGATTGGCTCTGGGTCAATCACATGCACCACCCCAAGAAAAAAAGCTCTCCAGTCATACACACTAAACTGAGCATGTGCAGAGTGTCTCCTAGAGGTCTGTACTATCAGCAGATGGATTGAAGATAGTGGAAGAAGGAGAGGATCAGAGAAGACAGAATCAAACAGCCTTTTTACAGAGTACGGAGGATTAACCCCTTAGGTTCCATTATGAATATAACAAGCATGTTTTACTGCATATACAGACTGATTTTATTGTTGTGGGTTTAGTAATACTTTAAATGTATACTTTTTTCATGCAGGCAGTGAACGTACCTGTATTTACCCTGATATCAGTCACCAGAGGCCCATGTATAGCAGTAATTAGACTAGGGAAGGGAGAAAAAGCACAGAGATAGAATGAGAGAGCAGAGTGACAGAGCGATGAGCTGATCAGTGTACTCATTTCACTTTCCAGTAAAAATATGGGATTAGGAGGAATCATGTAAGGCCTGTTCGTAGCTCAAAGCATTCAATATGCTCCACATCCAAAATCCCATGGTTTTCAATTTTGCCTGTAAAAAAAGTATATGAGCTAATTTTGAGCAGTTACCAGCCTTTTAGCCCCAATAGACTTTAATGGGAATGTCTGATAAATATGCAAAAAAAAACACACAAAAACACATTTATCCTGCATTTTTTTCTCCCATGGTAACTAGCTTTCCATTGACTAAAACTAATTTTTAAAAATCGCTCATACAAAAATGCTCAAAAATGCCTGTAAAACACTCAAGTAGAAGCCTGTAAAAATAACCAAATACACTCAGCTCAAGTGTGAATGAAGGCAAAGTGTTACTGAACTGCGACAGATTAAAATCAGGTTTTCTGTCCTATCTGGCAGAACTGCGTAAATCTCAGAACTTGAAGGCCAAAATATAAATCATTTGGAAAGAAAATCAGATCCCCTATTTGTAATTAGATTGTATATTTAAATGTTAATCTGATTGTCAACTTTAATCGTTTTAAAATTTGGATTGCAGTATATGGAAATCCAAAATCTGTTTTTCAGTATTTTGGGCCTCATTATGTACTGCTTATGCTTCTAGCATTAGTGAATAGGAAGATATATTATATTTGCTTTTAAACTTTTTCTTTTTTTTCATTTCTTCAGTTGCTTCCTAGTTCTTGGCCTAGGGCCTAGGCCAAAATGATGTCATATATCTCATGAGTTTTCATGCGCATTTTTTTTTTTTTCACCTGCAGGAGGGGAGGAGGGATTTTCTCAGCTAAGCACACCCTCCTGCCTACATGCCTGAATTAACCACTTGCCCTCCTGAGGATTTACCCCCCTTCTTGACGAGGCCATTCTTTGTGTTACAGCACTGTATTGTTTTAACTGGCAATGCTGTATATACATGAAATGTATGTATTTTTTTCCCCCACAAATAGAGCTTTCTTTTGGTGGTATTTGATCACCTCTGGGTTTTTTATTTTTTACACTATGAACAAAAAAAGATCAAAAATTAAAAAAAACCCAGTAATTTATACTTTCTGCTATAAAACATATCCAATAAAAAAATGTAAAAAATCGAATTGCTTCATAAATTTAGGCCAGTATGTATTGTGCTCTCGTGGTATTTGATCACCTCCTGGGTTTTTTATTTTTTGTGCAATAAACAAACAAAGATCAAAAATTAAAAAAGAAACAATAATTTATATTTTCTGCTATAAAACATGTCCAATAAAAACATTTAAAAAATCTAATGGCTTCTTAAATTTAGGCTAGTATGTATTCCGCTGCATATTTTTGGGAAAAAAAGAAAATCCCAATAACCATATATTGAATGGCTTGTGCAAAAGTTATAGCATCTGCAAACTTTGGTATATATACTGGAATTTTTATTTTATTTTTTTTTACTAGTAATGGCGGCCATCAGCAACTTATAGCGGGAGTGTGATATTGTGGCAGACAATTGGAATCTAACTGACAGTTTGTGGGAACCAATGACACTAATACAGTGATCAGTACTATAAATATTCACTGACAATGTACTAATGAAACTGGCTGAGAAAGGGTTAAACATCTAGGGTGATCAAGGAGTTAACTGTGTGCCTAGCTATGTGTAATGGGTGCTGTGTGTGCTGTTTTTACTAAGTAATGTGCTGGATTCTATTCCCTGCTCTTCAGGGAAAGAGAATCCAGCACATTGCCACTGACAGGACACAGCTGCCTTGTTTACATAGGCAGAGCTGTGTTCTGTCAGTCTCCTAGGCGAGTAGCTAGCACCCCCCGATCGGGTTCTGTTGTGACAAGTCCCAGCACAAGCAGCACGCCCGTGGTGCATGCGCATGCCTGCGACCAGGAAGTGCAGATAACATTTATATACATGATTCTGCACCCTGTAGCAGCATATTTGCTATGGGGAGGTCAGCAAATGGTTAATCATTCCCTAATCTAAGAATCCAAACCAAAGAACAAAATTTCAACACATTACAGGAAGCATTACAGGAAGCAAACACAGGCCAAATACAAATAAAAACATGAGTTCATTGTACATTATGTATTAAACTATAACTAAAGGTGACTTTTTTTTTTTTTTAATTTTGGACAGAGTGGAGAGGGTTTAGAACACCTGTCAGGTTTTAATTGCTAAAGAAAAACACAAAAGGACTCACTCTCCTCGTGCATTACCGTGGTTACAAATGAATTTATTAAAAACGTAACAAATGGATGCTCACAAAACAAATGTAAAAAAACAATCATGAAGCCAAATGGGTCAATGTCACACGACTGGAGTCCTGTGATGATGGTGCCCGGTGGGAAAAAGCTGATGCATTTCAGGAGTTGAACTCCCTTTTTCAAAGCTAAGATGGTAGAGAATGCCCATGCACCATATATAGAGAGAATTACTGATTGAAATCATTACCACACCCCCACACCACCTCATAGAAGGAAGAAATGTGGTTACCTTTAGCCCAATGGGGATGGAATGTTGATTTGAGCTTTAAAAGGAGTATGTGGCAGGGAACACATAAACACATGGCCATGAGTGCCTCTAGACCAAGCACCAAATTCTTCCAGATCTCCAATTCCATCCTGATCTACACACCCCTCAACCCAAAGATCTTCTAAAACTGCCAGGGCTTCATCTTCAGAGACACTGGCATGGTCCAAATATTTCTCTTTTGTCATATCATCTTCCATTTCCATCTTTTTATCCTTGGTGGAAAAGTATCTTTTAAGGGTGATATTTCGTGTGAACCTATTAAGGTCCACGAATAATTCGAATAGATTGGGATGGTTAGGGGGTGCAAAATTCAAGCCCTTCTGTAGTAGTCTAAGTTCAGAATCTCTTAAGGTGGAGCACTCTGTTTGACCAGAAAGGCAGCTATAGATGTGAGGTGCCTAACTGTGGAGCATGTGAATACATGTGCCACAGAAAAAAGGAATTTCTTGGAGTAAATGGGAAAGCCCATTGCATCAAACAGTTTACCAACTGTGTGACACAGTTTGTCATTTATTGTTTGGTCTGCCCTTGTGGTCTTTTGACGTGGGCCACACTTCACGCTTTCAAAGGACTAGATTTGGAGAACATAAAGGAAACATATATCATAAACGTGCACGCTGTAACTCATGCAACATAAGTATCTTATATCACACTCGAATATATAAAGTGCAAACAAGTGCGTGAATAGCGCAATCAAATAAATCACTGAGAGTCCGTGACGACCACAAATATTATACACGAAATGCATTACATTTTGGTCCAGCCCATTTTGGTCTGATAAAATACATTTTCATTTCATCCAGTTTCCCTTCGAGTTCTGGTGCAGCACCTTGTCACATTGTCATATTCCTTGATACCAGGTCCCTATAGTTTTCATGAGCACAATATGACAAAATTGGGCACCATATATATATATACAGTATATATATATACAGGTGAAACTCGAAAAATTAGAATATTGCGCAAAAGTTCATTTATTTCAGTAATGTAACTTAAAAGGTGAAACTAATATATGAGATAGACTCATTACA